TTTTGCTTCGGTTTATTTAAAAGAACATAAAAGTTTATCACAGTCTTAAAGTAATCATATAATATTGTGACTATGGCCCTTAATGTATCATTCGAATGGAACGTAATTTTCTCCAATTTACACTTTCTACCCAACTAATCAAAATTCCATGGCAAATTGAAAAATTCCAACCCTAACCAATTGGCAGTCAAACAAAACACAGGAAAACTTTTTCAGTTACCATTTCGGCTATTTTATTTCATGCCAGCGAGTGTCCGCGCACACCGCCGAACCAAGAACGAAAGCAGCCAATTGGCCTTTGTTAAGGCGGGCCGGCATATTTGCGGAACCAAAATAAATTCCGTCATTCTTTGTTTTTTTTTTTCGCGTAAATTCAAATTAAAACATTACCAACCATTGGCAGTTGAGCAAAACGTAAATTGGCACATAGAAAAGGCAGAAAATGGGAGGATTTTAGAGTGAAATTAAATTAAAATATGCAACAATGTTTTGCCGACTCACCTTGTATTGCGGCCAGTAGGAGAAGCAGCTGCAGGCCAAAGCCGACTGCGCCACCGCCGAAGCGCGACCGTCGTGCTGGCGCGTACATTTTGTTAGCGCTGCAGCTATGCATGGGTGTGTGGGTGTGTGGGTGCGCGTTCGATCACTTGATTGTGGCTGCTCTACTTTGCCGGCGTTTTTTTTTCACTTCAAGTATTCGTTTAATTGCGCTGAATTAATTCGCTACACCACAAAGGCGTCCAAGCGCGCAAGCCGGTAAATCCTCGTCCTACTGATTTGTGGGGTAGAATCTACTTAGTCGCTTGGGACGTAAATTTAAATAAATTGTAAAATACTCGCGCGAAAAATGCGAACCGCACACAAACGTTAGACGCGACGTGAATTTAACGCAAAACGCGGTTGGGACGTCTCAAAGTAGTCTTTATCGGCACTGGCAAGCGTTTAAAGTCTTTATCAACGTTCACTGGGAACATTATCCCAGTGGACAATTTTTATTTATTTTTTTGCCAATTTTAAGCATCTATTTTTCCAGTTAACTTAAAATCGTTGCACATTTCCGAATCTCATAAAATTGTTTTTGCTTTTTACATTCCGGCTGCGCTCTCAACTAAATATGTACCTAATGTGCTGACTTGGCGCAATCATCTACAAATGGAGTTTTGCACAAAAACTTGTGAGGTGTGTGTGTGTTGGTGGTTACCTACATACACACATACATATTTATGTATGTGCACACGCAAGCCAAGCAAAGATTTCATCAAATTAGTGCTGGTGAAATACCAGAAAAATGTTCAGTTTAAAAAACACTCACGGGACTAATAACGCAAAATGCTTTTCTTTTTGCGCTTTCTCTAAATACATTCGCTTCTCTGCTGCGTTTTGTTCGCTTAGTTTGCTGTGAATTGCTGTTGGCAGCAGAATGTGCTGGTTGCTGGCTGCTGGCGGGGTGGCGTGTGTTGGTGTATGCGAAGCTGTTGAGCGTTGGGTAAGTAGATCAGTTAGTTGGCTGGCCGTTTGAAGCACACGCCAACCAAGTCATTCACCGTTCGTGCTCGCGCGCCACATTTTTTTTGCTGTGCACCTCGCAGCTCGTTGCCGACTTCTGGGCGCCGTAACCGCTTAACTCAACATCAAGTGGTCGTCGTTGTCGTCGTCGCCACCGTCGTTGCTTTTGTTGCTGCCGTTGAGTGGCTGGCGTAGGTGTGATTTTTGTTTTAATTTTTTATTTTTTTTGCCTTTTTTTGTTGTCACTCTGTTGCTTTGGCTGTTTGTGATGTGATTTTTTGCTAACTTCTGCACTTTTGTTTCGTCGTACAACACCGTTGCTTCTGCACTGCCGCCGTTTTGAGCACACAATTGCGCTGTTTTCCTTTTTTTATTGAAAGGTAAACCGAGTTTCAATTTAGGCGAATGCGTTCAAATGGGTCAAAGTGAATTTCTTTTTGGTATTGTTTGGTTTCATTCTATTATTCGTTTTTTGGGCAAGTTTGGTTTGCGTTACATCAAAAAAAAAAAGTACTGCATTGATTTTATGACTTATGTGATCTAAACTTAGTTCGCAGTTCATAGTTATTTGGGTAGCTCGCAGCTGGGTACTTTTGCTATAAAAACTTCATTAAACCCGCACTTATTTAGTAAAAGATTTTGTAAAAATTTTGTTTTGTAAGGCTAGTTTTCGAACCTCTCAGCTAACTGTGCTTCATTGTATCTTCTACAAACTATTCCCTCTGCTTTTGTCCACGCCACAGCGCCCTTAGGTATGCAATGAAATTATGCAAATATTAATCATAGTTAGTGATAACTTCAGCGCCTTTCATACCGACATTGATGTGTCGCTTTCACATACTTTGCGGCGTTTAATATGTGTTGGAATTTTTTTGGTGCATACTATTAGGCATTTAATGTATTTCATTCGCAAAACCTTCCTCTATCACATTTTACTATATCAAAATTCATAGCACACTTACAGCATCACAAATCATTAGAAAATATTTTCATATGTCAAATTATTGCCTACATCTAGACATTCAAACCACAAACCTCAATAACTTTTATCAAACTCAACACACTTTAAATTTTTAATTTGTCAAACCCGCACGATTTCGCATTTTTCATGTCATCTTATGCGTCTCACACCCCTTAACTGTTGTCACATGACTCTCCGCTTACTTCATTTGGTGCGCGCCCAAAAATATGCCACCATTTATAAAACATGCTTATTTCAACAATATTTCACTTCAAGCATAAATGGCTTTCAATTTATATCAATGTCGCAGCCAACTTCCACTTCTATTTTCTTCCTTTTTCACCTGCACACTTGTTTTTGCTTTGGTTTTTGTTTTTTGTTCACCCTCTCTTCTTATTTCAACTGCAGACGCTGCTGCTGTTTGGTGTAAATCTCATTTATTTATTTCTGCTGAGCAGGCATGCTGTGCGCTGCACTCATGCCTGGATGTCATTTATCTTTTAACGCCTAGTAGGTATGTATGTATGTATGATAGCGCTCAACTCCGCAATGTAGGCAACGTCTACCAAAACTAGCTGCCTAGGTTGCCTGACTTTGTAGCAAGCAAGGCTCTATTTTAGCTCTATTAAAATACTTAACCCTCATCAGTGTCAACGGAAAGAGGCTTCGCCTGATGGAAGTCCACACGTACATATGTATGAATGTATGTGTATAAAGTTTAGCTGTTGCCTACTTTTAGGCTAACAAAGTGCGATATTTAATTGATTTATTTAATTTTCTTTCGTACCGTTTGAACTTCACTTTCAACACTTATTTGCTTGCTGTGTTTTGTTTTTTTTTTTGTTTTTTGTTTCCTCTCACAAAATTACAAATTGCTTTCGCTTGCAATTAATTTTTACGCGAACGCGCGGCTACGTGCAACACATTTGACACACAATATGAAACTACTAAATTGCTACTGGCTCCAACTGCGGCCATAGCTAACAGCCTGCCACAGCCAAGACAGCTGCTATTTCGTGGCAAATTTGAAAACCAGCACGAGATATCGGCGGTGAGGGCTGTGTTGTGTTCAAAAAAAAACGAGTGCACGAGCCGTTCAAGAATCGTTGCGCTAAAGGCAGCCGAAGCAAGTATTTGCCAGCAACGAACAAAAAAAGTTCGAATATTGTGCAAGTTAAGAGTACAGCAAGAGCGTGAAAAAAGAGAATGGTTAGCAAGTGAAGAGCAGGAAGTACGAAAATACGCGTACGTACAAGAAAAACGGAAGTTGGATGTCAATATCCTCGCAAGCCGGCAAACAATTGTAATTGCTTGCCAAAGATGATGTAAACACTGCGTTTAAAATTTTTGCTCAGTTTGTGGAAATACAATAAAATAAAAAATTGGATATAATAAAATTAAATTAAAAAATGCAAATTAAAATTATTTATTACCTACTTTTGGTCTAGGTCTAGGGGCGGCAAATGCACGAGTATGTCGCAGGGCAATTAATTTTTAAGTCAATAATTTTATGTGCATATGAGTCAGAATTTCTGAAACGGGCCACTTCAACTATGTGATATTTTATTTCCAACCAGCAGTGGTATTTTTTTATGCCTAACTTTGATTTTATAAAAAAAAAAAAGTATATTTTTCTCTCAAGTGTTCGTTTGTCCTTTTTACTTCAAAATTCAATTACAGACGATCTAATTGACCGATTTTGGCAATTGAACCGTAAATTTCATTATTATTAAAAACTCTTCAAGAACGTAGGTTTTATTTGTTAAAAAATAATTTTTAAGGGTAAATGTTTATAAAGTTGTTTACTCAAAATATAAAAATTACAGTCTTCTCCACCACTTTTTCACACAGAAAAAAACCATATATGCAAAATTTTACTCTCGAAAATATTCTTTTGAAAAAAAATGTATCGCAAGGTGGAAAACCGTTATTTTTACTTGAAGGCTGTCGCGCAATGCAACAATCGTGCCGTGTATCTTGATCAACAGCGTGCCCTCGCTGGTTTTTTTTTCATTTGGCAAAGTCAATAATAAATAGAGGTAGATTTTAGTAAAAACTTTAAATTTTTCAATTCAATTAAGAAGAAACTTCTACGTATATTTCTTAGCAAATTTTCCGAAGGAACCACGGGTATCAAATCAATCTGGAGTTGGCCAAATTACAAAAACAGGCTGCGAAGAAAATGTGAAAATTTTTACTGTTGGTGGAAGTTTTAAGAAAAAGATATGTACAGAAATTGATTCCGGATACCAAAAAACCCCTTATAGCATGTTGTTATACATACAAAATTTAAGCACTTTACGCCACTGCAGCATAATGCTAAGACACCTATTTTTGGAATTTGGCAAAAACTCCAATTTGATTTTAGACCCATGGAGTTTCCTTAGAATTATACGTAGAATACTACGGTTCTATACGCCCATGGTCGAAAAAATACCTCTGCGAAGCCAAGTAGTGACTAGCCAACCTAACCTAATCGAAAGATTAACAATAGAAAATCGCAGAAGTTTTGTGAGTATGTTATATTTTTTGAAATAAATATCCACTATATTATGCTAATTTTCTTGTCCAAACATTTTTGAAAAAAGTAATATTTTATTCTCGATTTTCATCAGTTCAGCCTTGTGCATTAGAGAGCTGTGAAATTTATACTTGCAAAAAAAAAAGCTTTTTTAATTTAATTTCACGCCATGTTCTAATAGTTGTTTTTAATTTTCGCAAAACCTTAATTCAGTCTATGAAAAATTTTCCAATTTCGCCAACACGACTATATTTTTTTATTGCTGTAGGTCAGTTCGTTAAGATTTCAAACTCGCTTCGGGTTACCTAAGTATATTCAGACAATTTCAACAGTTGTAAACATTTTTTTTAACAGCAGCAATTCTCTTATACCTGTAAACGAGAGTTTTAAACAGCATTCGGAAGACAGCATGTCCTTCCTTTTATAGCATGCTAAGAATATTTTCGAATTCACCACACTAGCATTCAGAGAAAAAATCCTTAAATTTCTCTTCAAAATGAGTTTAGGTTATCTGCATATAACATTGACATTGCTCTTTTGCAGAAAACGTATGCACATTAGGGTGGTCCAAAATAAGTAAAGTCGGAATTTTAATGCTTTCATTCCCTAGGATTGTTCTTATCGAAAAAATATACCCCTCTTTTTTTATTTTGCAATCAAAAAATATTTAGAGGTCGCTCGAAGCGCTCAAAGTTTTCCATGTATTTTATACAGCTTTTCGTGCAAATGGCATGAAATTCTCGAAAATCAATATTTTTCTCTAAAAAAAAACTCTGGTTCTCTTCAGAAGACTTCCAATAACAATACCCAGTTTTTTATTTAAACATTTTTTAGTACTAAAGATTCTCTTCAACTATATGAACGTAGTCTCATGCAGTGTTGCCAGGTCACTGAAGTGAGAAATCGTCAGTTTGGTGCTTGCATGTAAAAATCGTGAACATTCT